GCGAATATTGGGCGTCGGGTGCATGACAATGAAAGCATTTCACTTCCTTGAGGAAAGAGCGAAGAGGTTGAAAAAGACCGAGAGGTGATACGATGCGAAAGTGGCAAGTGCCAAGTCATTCGCGACAGGCATAAATCTCGTATGCGCCTTCCTCGAAAGCACCTGTATCCGGACACGGGGTTACTCCCCCTAGACAAGCTTCTGACCCGGATCGGAAAGAACAGGACCTGAAGGACATGATGGGAAGCGATTACTTGAGGCTTCAAACAAGAAAATAAGGCTATACTAGATGTGCCTGTTATGTACTGGCGGTGGACCGTTCCTCCCGCCTATGCAGAAGAACGTTCAAAAATGCAACCGAACCGGAGAATGCTCTGGTATCCAATAACGCCTGCCTCCATTGATTTTGTGTTTCCAACCCCCCCCCCCCCCCCCTCCCCCAAACCAAGGTTTTCCAATAGGTCCCCCTGCAATGCAAACGATTACGGCCGGGCTGGATCGTTGGGCAAGAAGTTACCTACGATAAGTGTAGGGCTGTCTACTTGTCAGCTTCAAAAGGCGCGAGACTAGTGGGTGGGCAGATACCAACATTTTGTGGTTATCTCGTTGAATCATAAATGAGAAGCAGCAATGAACCACCGGGTCTGTCGCCTTGTCGTCTGGGTTCTTTAGTGTGCAGGCTGTAAGTAACGTATCGTGAGCGGGATCGAAGGCGATGGTTCCAAACTCTTCCCAGTATCGCACGAGAGACTCTTCCGTCAGAATCTCGTGAAGTGAGATCTTGCCCTATGATCTGGTTAGTTGCAACGTGACTTGCTTGAAATGACCACAACACGTACATCGCGTAGGTTCTCCACAGGCACGTGAAGAAGTTCAGCCATCTCATTATTGCCTCTGAAGATCTCTCCGGTTCTCCGCCAACAACACGCTGGCACCGCCATACTGGCAAATACACGGTCGTACTCCATGAGCTGTTTCTCGAACCACATTTCCACGTAGAGCAGCTCCATATCCGTCAGGGCTTGCGCCTTTTCGCGGAACTTGGGTCGGAATCGATCAATCGTTCGCAGAATCTTTTGCTTCGATGATGCAGCGATGTGGCCATCCAGGTACGTGCCTAGTCGCGCGTAGCCCTTGACGTAGTTGAAAGGCTTCAGCAGACCGGCCTCGTACTTGGCCTTTAATACACGGTCCATGCGCTCCTCAGGGGTGTCATTTCCTGACGGATCGGCCGCCTGGAGGTAGTATTCACGCGCCTTGTCTTTGTCGCCCTGAACGATGCTGCCTGGCCGTGATATCGCCTTGCCCTGCTCCAGGTTCTGTGGAGGCAGCATCTGCGAAAGCGCATTATTGCCATTGCTAGCACCGCCCCGGTTATTCCCATTATGATTTCCAAACGTCGGCAGCATATCGTTGGCGCCCGCGGTCCTGCTGAAAGCGGGGCTGTTTTGGGACTCGTCGGAGACGATGCCGCCGTCATCCAGTAAGCTCGTCTGCAGAAAGTCATTCAACAGGTTGAACTCGTGCGTGACTTCGGGGGCGATCAAGTAGTTGTTGGGGTGATAGCTTTGCATGTCGTGGTAGTGGTTCTGGGCCGTCAACCAGGCATCGGAGAATCCAGCGACTGTTCGACCGGGGCGCATCACGTTAGCTTCCGAGTCTCTCTCAAGTTGAGGCTGCTTGTTGTCCTTCTGTACTCCCTAGAGAGCGCAGACGCGTGCAAAAAGAGCAAGGAGCCCCCAAGTACGAACAGCACGGCACTGTGGAAAAGGGGGAGAACAAGCCCGCGGGTGAAGACCTACATTGGTTCACATTGCTGCCGTTTCCCGCCATGCCGGTGCCTGCCCCCGGTGACACGAGGTGCAGCGGGTTCCCCTGGCCCAGTACAGCGGCGCCAAAAGCAGCCGCCTTGCGGTCGAAAGGGGGCGGCGGGCCCATGGACCCGGTCGCAGATTGGTCGATGGAGCTTCTCGTGAGCTCAGATTGCGTTGTCTCGGACTCGTCGACAGCGGATGGCGCATGAGAGCTCTTGGCTTTTTTGGAATCGGCATCGCGGGGCTCATCGTGGCAGAGGTGGCCAATATTGCGCTTGATGCATCTTGTACATGGTCGTTCCTAGGCACAACATGTCAGCGGGTGTGGTACGAGCCAAAGAAACGGCATGCGCGCGCTCGCGCCTGCGCAGAGCTTCCAGGAAGCCGAGTGGACAGCGCGGGGAGACAGAGATAAACGGACGCCGCAGCAAGGCAGCCCGTCATGTGTCAAGGTTGTGTGAAGAAAGAGATCTTACATACGAGATCGCATGTCATATGCTATAGAGCAGGCAAGACACTATCCGTCAGCCATCTTTTCTCTTTCCCGCTTATTGTTTATTCAGGCCCTGCAGGTTTCCTTCTGCAGGGAGACGAAGTTGCGCGTATATGCAGGTAGGGGTTTCGTTGGTTGGCATAATCATCGCACGGCAGCAATCGCAGAGACATGATAGTGTCAACACCATGCGCGAAGCCGGGGAAGCAATGCCAGTTATGCTGTTTGGGTAAGGGCTATCTGACTTACAGATCGCCGGCAGTAGACGCAAGCTGGGAGGGCACATGACATTAGCTGGTGCTTCCGCACGACTTGCGGCACTGAGAGAAAGTCGCTGCAGCAGCTGCAATCGCAGTCTCAAGGGAGCCCGCGGACACAGCGCGCAGCTGTACGTGGGGTTCAACATACCGTGGTTGACCTTGCGGCGTTTTTTGGGGCTCTTGGCCGAGTGAGCATGGCCACCATTGTTCTCGGTCTTGTCACGCTTTTCCTTGTCGTCTTGCGCTTCGGACTTTACGTCTTTGCCGTTATCTGGCATGGCGAGAAACCCAGGACGGGTGACGGCAGCAGTTATGGGCGGTGGTGGTGGTAGTGGTAGGAGTGGTGGTGGTGGAGGGCGGGCTCGGAATCAGTTCAATGGGGCAGCGGCTCCCATTGGACCTCAAAGGTTACGCAGTAGACGAGGGTTCGCAGATCATTTGACACCGGGGGTGAATAATGCTAATCGACCGTGGTGTACTCTCGAGTGTCTGCGCAAAAGATTGGGCGTGGCGGGTTTCTGCAGACAGAGTGGTAGGGAAAACGAGGTTGTCGCGTGCGGGTAGCCGGCGGGCTGAGTTCGGCTATGGTTGCTTTGCTTTGCTTGCTTTCGGATTCGTCCCGCCTTGCAGTTCTCGAGTTGGACACAGATTGCAAGGGATCCGTTGGAAACTGCCGATCCTCTTTTCCAAGTTCCTAGGTAGTCCTCGTCCTCCTGGTACGTTCATTCGCTTCGGGTCCGGGGATCGCGGAATCGTGGGCGTTTTCAAGCGTGGTCGCAATTTGTGGTGTAGGTGTAGGTGTTGGTGTTTTGGTCGTGGTGGCTTCGGACAATCGCATGGAGAAGAAGAAAAAATGGGTGCGGGCTTTTGGCGCAATGAGCAAATGATGATCAGTCCCAAGGGAATGGGAAGGGAGCCGAACCAGGCGAGCCAGGCGAGAGGGAACCAACCTGGTACCTTGGCTGAAAGCTTCGCAGAAAAGGAAAAGGGAAAAAAACGACAACGGGCAGGCGGCGTATCCGTACCCAATTGCCATGGGAAGTGGGTTAGCTAATTGAGCACCCGGCATTCCTTCCCACCCACTTCGACACATTAGCCTTTGGGACGAGCCCAGGACAGGCAAGATCGATGTTGTTGTGTTCCTGGTAGTGGAAAGTACCTGACCCAAGCGGGGGATGCTACTTCGTCATCTCACACAACCTTCACTCACTCAATACTGCGTACGATTTCACTCATCAACCTCAATCGTGAGAAAACACTTCAATAAACTCTGAGGCTTACAGCCACAATCTTATTAGTAAATCACGACTCACGGCACGGTATCCAAGGCTGGGCGCAGCTGGGCAGAAGTGGGTTACAACCAGTAATCGTCATGTAATGAGGTATCCCCCCTCACCTAGCTGGTCGGACGTCGCCCGATGAGACAAGCAAAATGAGAGCGAGAGAGTCGCAGAGAGAAGCGGTAGGGGAGAGAATGCGATTTGGTTTCCCCGCCTTCTCCTTCATCCCGACTTGTCACCTTTTACCTCGGTGAAGTTCTCATCACGCACATTTAAGACTCGGTGACATTTTACGAAAAGGTACCTCGGTCAATCATCTGCCAATTCAAAGCAATGATATCACACCAGCACGCATGGCACAGACATTGCTAGAGGAACCCACCCGTCAATGCAGCTTCCCTTCTGCCCTACGAGCTATCTTTAGTCGCTGTTCCCGAAATCCCCTGAGCAGCTCCATCACCACCGTCGCATCAAACCAAACGGTAACTTCTTGGCTCTCGAAAACGTCAAGGCAAGCCCGCAAACCAAGTGGTCCTTCGTCCCATCTTCTTCTGGCTACAACGATTCAGCCAGTATTACTAGTGTACCTACCGTAGTCAATTTGCGCTCCAACGGCAGCGAAGCAGAATGGAAAAAGACCAACGGCTGAGAGCTAGTATTCTCCAGTCGCCTGCAGCATGCAATGTAATGTAAGCATGAAACCACAGCCCGCCATTCGGCCCAAGGTGGTTTTCTGCTTCGCTCTCTCGCACTCTCTTGCTTCCCCTCGGCCGCCCTGGTCCACGGCTTTCCAGCTGAGAGAAAATCACTACCGCTTCCAAGTTCGTGCTGCTTCATCCATCGCCCCGGCTACCCCGGCCCCAAAGTCGTCCCCCTCATCATCCCATCTCTCTGTGCTCACGGGACTTGGCGATTTGGGGGCGCATTCGAGATCGTGTGACGCATTGCTCTCCTGGGTACTTCGCAGTAATGGTTATGCAATACTACAAGGGGAGAATTGAATGAAGTGACACAATATAGTGTAAAATCTTCGTCAAGTTCGCCAGACTCTCTACGAATTGAACACCAAAAATTCGACACTTGAGCACCTAACCCCTCCAAGAAAACAAGAAAAGAATCCCATGCAAACCGAGAAAAGTCTTGGCGCCCGTTGCTAAATGGCTACGAAAAAGCTCTTCTCCCCCTCCTTCGGCAGCACCCTGGCCCTCCTCATAATCGGATCCTCGCAGCTTAGCCGGATCCTCTCGGGTGTAGCCGGGCTCTCCAACCTGAGCAGGCCATCCCCCTCCCGGTCCTCCCCGACCGTCGCCGCCACCCCGTACTGCGCCCTCGACGCCTTGAGCGCGTCGCGGATCGCAAAGAACACCGCGCTGCCCATGAACAGCGGCGGCTCGCCCACGCCCCGCGATCGCTGAATCGTCCGCAGGTCCTTCCACTCCACGTCCTTGAGCAGCGTCACGTTGAACTCTTGCGGAATGTCGCGGAACCCGGGGATCTTGTACGCTCCCGGACCCCGCGTGAAGAGGTTACCCGCCATCGGCCCGTTGCGGAGCCAGAGCGACTCCTCCATCGTGAAGAGGCCTAACCCTTGGACAAAGGCGCCCTGGATCTGGCCGTAGTCGAGCGCCGGGTTGATGGACTGCCCGACGTCCATCTTGATGTCGGCCCGGAGGCACGTCCACGTGCCGGTGAGTGTGTCAATCTCCACCTCGGCCGCCGTGACGCCCTGCGTGAAGTAGAAGAACATCTTGCCCCTGTTCTCGCCCCACGTGTACCCGATCTCCGGTGTCTTGTAGAACCCTTGCGCCGAGAGGTTCACTCGGTCAAAGTACGCGGCGTGCGCCAGATCCTTCATCGTCGCGCCGGGTCCCAGCTTCTCCCTGTACGGCGCCAGGCGCTCGTTGAGCTGCGCGCACGCGTTGTAGATGGCGTAACCGTTGAGGTCTGACGAGGCCGACGCGGCCGTCGCTGAGGCGTTGGCCACCGTGTTGGTCGCCGTCTCGGAGATGAAGACGTTGTCCAGCGGCACCTCGAGAGCTTGTGCGGCGATCTGCGTCATCTTCGTGTGCAGTCCCTGACCCATCTCCGTACCGCCGTGGGCCACCAGGACGGATCCGTCGTGGTAGATGTGTACGAGAGCGCCCGCCTGGTTTAGGAAGAGGGCAGTAAAGGAGATACCGAACTTTGTCGGGATGATGGCTAGGCCGCGCTTGCGCCACTTATTGCCATCGTTGAAGCGCCGGATAAGCTCTCTCCGCAGCTCGTACTTTGCCTCGTCCTGAACTTGCTTGTACATCAGTGGTACGTGCCAGTCAGTCAGGGGCTGGTTGAAATGCGTCGGCTCCAACGGCTTGTAGAAGTTGATCTCACGGAACTTCTCGACTGGCATGCCCAATCGATCCGCAACCTCCTCCATGTAAGTCTCGGCAATGAACATGCCCTGAGGTCCGCCAAATCCTCTAAAGGCCGTGTTCGACATGGTGTTGGTCTTGCACAGCCGGCCGCGGATGAAGACGTTGGGAATCCTGTAGCAGCCGTCCGAATGGGACATTGCTCGCTCGCAGACGGCCGCGCTCAAGTCGAATGTCCAGCCGGCGTTATTGAAGACGTCGAGATCCAGCGCTTGTATCTTGCCGTCCTTGTTCACGCCGACCTTCCATCTGCCCAAGAACGGATGGCGCTGCCCCGAAGTGACCATGTCCTCTTCTCTCGTCAGCATGTAGCGACACGGCCGCCTAGTTTTCCTCGCTGCGAGCGCGAGCGGTGCGCTCAGTTGGATTGATCTCGTCTCCTTGCCTCCGAAGCCACCACCAAGTCGCTTGACGCGAACGACGATTTTATTTGCTGCTACGCCCGTCATCCGAGCAACAAAGACTTGTCTGCAAGCTGTTAGTACAAAAACCACAGATTTAATGAAGAGTGAGCTTACGTCTCGTTGGCGTTTTGGGTGCTGGAAAACACCTCCATCTCGCCATCCTCGAGCTTGGGGACTACCAATGAAGCCTGCGTCTCGAGATAGAAGTGCTCCTGGCCACCCATTCGCGCCGTGCCGGTGAAGATGTGATCGCAGTTCTTGAATGCCTCTTCAGTGTCGCCGTTCTTGATCTCTCGGTAGTAGTTGTGGAAGCTGTCCTTTTCGATCGCTTCTTCGATTGTCAGGATTGATGGCAGGTCCTCATACTCGACCTTGACTGCACGTGCGGCCTCGGCTGCCCTCGACGCTGAAGTAGCCAAAATCATAGCGATGGGCTGACCAGCAGTATGGACCTCGCCTTCGGCAAAGAAGAGCTCGTCAAAGTGGGGAGCGCCCCAGCGGTTCTGCTCAGGTGAATCGACGTCGCCCTTGTCGATATAATCGACGACACCAGCCATGTTTAGTGCGGGAGAGTAGTCGATCGACTTGATCTTTGCGTGAGCTTTTGTCGACAGCACGAAGCAGCCATGCAGCTCGTTCTTCGCCACCGGTATGTCGTCGATGTATTGGGCCTCTCCAGTGACTTGCTTCAGAGCGGCAACATGGCTCTTGGACTTGCCCACGGTCTCCTGCTCGTACGCAGCAGCCGCGCCGTGGTCTTCGGTTCCGCCAGAGATGCCACGCTCAAGTTCGTCGACCGCCTCGATATCTATATGCTCGCTCTTCCCACCGAGATTGGCGATGACGTCGTGGTAGAAACGGTAGAAGAAGCTGAAGGCGAGCGCCTTTCGGTACGAAGCCATGCCTCCCGGAACGCTGAATTGCAGATCAAAGTCGGTTCCCAAGGCATTCATTGCTCCTTCGAGGGTCTCGAGCTCGGCAATGCGCTTGCCCACCAAGTACTCCATGGTGTTCTTCGCGGCTACTGTCATGGCCGCCATTCCACCATAGATGAGGTTGCACTCGGTCACTACGCCATCGTCGTCCATCTTGATCCGTAGAGCACCGGTCACGATGGCAATGTCGTCGTCTTTCCTCTTGGCCTGCTTGTATGCTCTGAAGAACTCATTCTTGGCAGCCGTCACGGGTATCCTGATGGAAGCAATGATGGCGTCTTGAGGAAGTGCTGTACGTCGGTATCCTGTGAAGAACTGTGACATGGGAATCTCGGTCTCTTCGCTCTGAGACTTGGCCACCAAGACGGCATTGGCTGCCCAGAGTACCGGGTTCAAGTCTGAGATGGGCGATGCAGTAACCAAATTCCCGGCAGGGGTACCAACATTGCGAATCTGTCTGCCAGCAAAGTACTTGAGTTGCTTGTAAATGCCCTCAAACACCTGGCCGCGAGCGTCTCCATAGTGACGCGTTGCCACTTTGCTGATGTGCTCCAAGTCTGTCAGGACGACGTTTCCTCCAATCTCTAGATGGTCATCCTTGAATTCGTACTGTCGCAATTCGGCAATGTCCCCAACGAAAACGGAGACGGGGTATTGTGCCGCCTTGAACTTTACTTCAATCTGGGTTTCGGTGCTGCCACCGATAATCTTGGCTGCAGGGTGTATGCTCTTGATATCCAGCAGCTGCTGAAGTGTTACTGGCCTGTACCACTTCTTCCTCTTGTTGCCGAACGAAAGCGGCCTCATCTCGTGCTTCTTGAGGGCGGGTGGGAAGATGAGTTCGGTATCAGGGTTGTACTCGATGAAGCCGGGGGGCGTGAATCTCTTGATAGGTTGGTCATCAAGCTTTGCCTTGTCCATGCAGCATCCGCCCTCCTTCTTCTCGCCGTTGCCATTCTCCATGCAGCAGCCCGAACCACCGTTCGTCCTCGCCTTTCCACATCCCCTCTCGACGCTAAATGTCTGCGCGGCCTCGAGAATAGGCTTGTAGCCGGTACATCTGCACAAGTTGCCATCGAAGGCTTCCTCGATGTCTTCTTCCGAGGGCGAGTCGTTGTTACGTAGCAGAGCGTACAAGCTCATGACAATGCCGGGGGTGCAGAAACCACACTGACTGCCGTTGCTCTTCGCCACGCGCTCCTGGGTGGGGTGTGGCCTCTTTGTGTTTCCGATGCCCTCGATGGTGATTACGTGCTTGCCGTCGACACTGGCTAGGGGTGCCAGACAAGCGTTTACGCTCGCATGGTAGATCTGCTTCGTCGTCGGATTGAACTGGGAGATGACGACGGTGCAGGCACCGCAACCGCCTTCGCCACATCCACTGATGGGTGTTAGTGTGTGTCATGATTGCTTCAATCTCCTGCGGGCCAGAAAGCTAGGGCCTGGACATACAGCTTGGTTCCCGTCAAACCGATGCCTCGCAAGTACTCCAAAAGAGTTACCTCGGGGTCAATCTCGTCTAGCACGACCCGGGTGCCATTGAGGTAGAAGCGAATGGTATCGTCAAAGTTGGTTGTGAGCGAGTTCAAAGGCCCAACATCCCGCTCGGGGGAGATGGCGATAGGCGCCATGTTGCCAGGAAGCTGCCGAGAACCAGTTCACAGTGAGATGTGATATCAGGTAAGTCCTTAGCACGCTTCGAAGGTCTTTGGGTAGGAGGATGAGGAGGGAGGGAAAGGAGAGGGAAAGGAGAGAAAAGGAAAGGGGTGTAGGTGCGCTTAGGATGGTGGGAGAGAGACAACCCCGCAGCTTTATTGTAGAAAGAGAGGCGAAGACGATGCTAATTCAGGTTGAGCCAAGCCTCTGTAGGTACCTAGGAGTAGTGTTTGCTGCAGAATGGGCCACTTGCCAGCCAGTCATACTTGTGTACGGAGTATATGTGTGTCTATTTACTGCATTCCGCTCGCCTATATCCGTGGGAACAAATGTTTGCAAATATTAACGGGCGGTATTCTCTCTGGTTTCTGATTCCATGTGCTCAGTGATTGCTGTGGCAAGACAAAACAAAAGCTGTCGGGTGTCGCTGACATGTTGGCTGCGGTTTGCGACGGGCGTCTGGCGAATCAGAGGGCCCAAGTTTGAGCTTATCAGCGGATCCCGCCAATCTGCATCTGCGATTTTGGTGGGATGCGTTATCGTTATCGGCCCTCCCCCTCCTCCCCACTAAGGCCGGTGCTTCCCCGCCACTGAGACATCGTCTTTCAGTTGAAGCCATGAGCACTGAAAGATCCGTGCAGCCCCGCTGCGCTTCATGCCGTTCACCAGCGGCCCCTCTGTCGGCCGGCTCCGTTTCCCCTTGGTCGGCATCTTCCACCCTGCGTGCCTGCATCGCCAGAAGGTCCAGACATGCAATTTGTTCCATCTGGCACCGATTCCCATCTTGATCCCCTGCATACCATGTACGATTGTACCTTATCCAACGAGTCGAATGCACTCAGAGATGCTATGCGACTCTGTAGCTTATACTGTACGCATCAACGAGGATCGATCGGCACATGGCTCGTCATAGGTATACAACGCTCAATCCACGCTCCGCAACCAAGTCTACCTTACCTCGGTGAGGATGAAGCAATGCTCCCGACCCAAAGCTCACCTCCGCTCACCTCTGCTCACCGATATTCACCGATATACACCGAAAATGATTAGATGACAGACGGGCATCCCAGCCCTCCGTCACCGAGAATGATTCATCAACACTCCGGCGCTGACAAACCCCCTCCACCAACCTCTGTCATCTATCCCCAGCCGTTCACACAACTCTTTTACCCCGATCCCCGGCAAATCCTTCCAAGATTATATTGCTTACCCCAGAGGATGCGGGCTGAGGAACGGGGAGAGTTGCTTATTGCAGGCCCCCCGCGGCTCCATCTTTGTCTATCTCAACTGCCGTCAAACCTAAATCCTCCGCCGTGTCAGCAGCCCGGCACCAAATCCGGAACGCCTAAGGCCGATTGACATCGCCGATAGCTCGAACCCCTCCCTTCTCCGCAGGAACATGGAGCAGCGTGGCATTTCGGCTGCGTTCCAGCTATACCGGCTGAGACAAGTTTTTGGCTCTTCGACGGTGCAATGACCGAGGTAGAGAGTAGATATAGCTTTGCCGACACGTCGATTCTTAAGCTGGCATATCTGCCTCTTCAGAACTCTCCGCAGCCATGGGATACCTGCTTGATTCGACAGCGGACAACATGAAGTTCTACAACGTCATCAACGGCGAGCGCCGTGGGAGCGATAACCACCACCAATGCACAGATCCCCGCACCGAGGAACCGCTCTGGGATGCTCCCCTTGCCACGACGCAGGATCTTGAGGAAGCCGTTGCAGCCGCCCAGAAGGCCCTCAAGACTTGGTCCAAGACTGCGATCGAAGAGAGATCCAATCTCTTGCGCAAGATTGTGGAGGTTTATACCACCCACAAGGATGAGCTGAAAGAAATCGTCATGAAAGAGACGGGGAAATCGGTAATACCATAACCTTTATCATAAAATCAATCCAATGATGAGAATACTGATGATTCGTGGCGTTTAGAGTCTCATGGCCGACATTGAAATCACAAATACTTGCAATCAAACCTCGTACTATTGTATGCCTGCACTGTTCTCTTGAGTTGACTCGCTCATACTTACAATTAACAGCAAATGTTCACCTCGAAGATGAAGTCACTTTCGAGGACGACAACATCAAGATCGTCGCCACTCACCAACCACTGGGTATCGTGGGGGCTATCTGTCCTTGGAACTTCCCTCTCATCTTGTCAAACATCAAAGTGGCATCCTCGCTCATCACCGGCAACTGCATCATCGTCAAACCCTCGCCCTTCACTCCGTATTCTGTCATGAAATCCATCGAGCTGCTCATCGACGTCTTTCCTCCCGGTGTCGTACAGGTAGTCAACGGCGGCGTCGACTTGGGTATCGCAATGACCTTGCATCCAGGCATCGCCAAGATCAGCTTCACCGGGACAATTGCCACAGGAAAGAGCGTCATGGCGAGCTGCGCAAAGACGCTCAAGCGCTTGACCTTGGAGCTAGCGGGCAACGACGCGGCGATCGTGACTGACGACATTGACATTGCAAAGGTGGCAGGACAGGTCGCGCAAGGATGCTTCTTCAACGCCGGGCAGATGTGCGTCGCAACGAAGCGAGTTTACGTCCACGATTCGGTGTATGAAAAGTTCCTGGATGCCTTCAAGAGCGCAGTTGCCGAGAAATATGTCATCACCAAGGATGCCCACGCACCCAGTTTGTTCGGCCCCGTCTCGAACAAGATGCAGTATAATGTTGTCAAGGATATTTATGACCACTACAAGAAGAATGGCTTCAATATGATTGCTGCGGATCATCCCGAAGACTCCAAAGGCTTCTGGATACCCCCGACCATTGTCACAAAGCCTCCTGATGACTCTATTTTGGTCAAGGAAGAACAATTTGGTGAGCCGGCTAATCTTTTCCCGAGTGTCTTGAGCTAGATACCGCCTCTCTCTGCTCTCACGCACAAGCTAATTATGCTGACTATGCCACCAGGCCCGATAGTACCCATCTTATCTTGGACAGAGGAAGACGAGTTGTTCCAGCGAGTCAACCTGGCCAACGCTGGTCTCGGGTCGTCTGTCTACTGCCGCGATCTAGGCCGTGCCGAGAGCCTCGCCCGGAGGGTGGAGGCGGGAACAGTCGCTATCAACCTCCCCGAGATACCGCACCACGGAGGTTACTTCTCCGGCATGAAGGACAGCGGCCATGGGGGCGAGATGGGCAAACACGGCCTTCATTCATACTGTTACACGCAAAGTCTGCAATTTGGCAAGAGTTGATCAACCCGACAAGATGGCAAACAAGCGTTTAAGAAGACTTATTACATGCTACTTTAAGCGTGTTACTGTAGCCAGAGACTCGTACCAATAGTCTAGTCTCGCTAAGACGTAGTACATACAAATGGACCCAATATTTTCACACCACTCAAGCAGTCTTTGCGCGATTCTCAAGCTCGACGAATTGCACCGCAGTATCCCCAATGGTATCCTCCAACTTCCTATACTCCATCCCAAGAACCTTCTCCGCCAACGACGCATCGACCCCAAACATGCCCTCCGCCAGCGCCGTCTTGGCCGGGTCCCCCTTTGGTATCCGCCCTTCCCACTGCGGCAGCTTCTCCCTCAAAATATTCGCCAGTCGCTGGTTCGACACGCCCCCGGGACTCACCAGGAACCTCTTCCCGCCCGCCTCGGGCGTCGTCGCTGCCAGCAGGTGCGCGCGCGCGACGTCCCGCACGTCGACGTACAGGTGCAGCATCTCAGGCGGGACCGGCGATTCCTTGGTGAGTGACGGCCCGCAGAAGTTCTGGTAGAGCATGTGGTTGCTCTCGTTGAGGTACTGCGGGGAGGCCGTCGCCGAGACGTCGTAGAGGGGTCCGTAGACGATGGGCGGGCAGATTGTGACGAGGTCGAAGGCGGGTTTCGGTTCGGAGGAGAGGAAGGCCCAGGCTGCCTTTTCTGCGAATTTCTTGCTGGCGACGTAGGGTATCGCGGGGTGCGTTGACGCCTCTGCGTCCTCCCTCGATACGCCGAGCCAGTCCTTCTCGCTGTAAATCTTGGGCGGGTCGGAGATGGGGGGCTTGGTGATCTCGATCACGGCGGCCATGGAGCTCGTGACGATGACTCTCTTCACGGTCGGCGCCTTGCGCACCACGCCCTGTAGGATCTCGGTCGTGCCCTTGACGGCTGGGTCGAGGAAGTCGGCGTTAGAGTTGCCCTTGCGGAAGTTGAAGGGCGAGGCCGTGTGGAGGACGACGTCAAAGGGCGCATGGTCCGAGACGAGGACGGTATCAAAGGCGCCCGGAGCGGCGATGTCCGGCACCAGGGCGAAGTCGAGCTGCGTGGAGGGGTAGGAGGCGAAGGTCTTGTGGAGCTGGTCGACGGAGGACTGGGAGCGGACGACGGCGCGAACGGAGTGGCCTGCTGCGAGAAACTGGGCGAGGATGTGTTGGGCTATGAAGCCGTTTGCGCCGGTAAGGAGGACGCGGAGAGGCATGTTGGGGAGGCTTGTTGTGATGATGACTATTTACTCTTGGTATTGGCGTTTGGGATCTAGCAACCACCCTCTGGCTTCAATGTGATTGTTGAGCTTCATTCTGAGCTTCTTTATAATAGCGTTCGCAGCGCTGCCGGAACAGTTCCGACCCCTCCGATGACATGTGGAAACTTGCCATCACAGCAAGCATAGCTCCATGACTCGCAGCAGCTTTCCACCTTCCTCCTCTCGTATCTTCCCTCCCAAGGCCACCATACCTTACCTCGTACAAAAAGTGACCCAAAAGATTATGGAACTTTCCGACCAAAGCGACACCTTGGTCTTGACGTACCCGACTATCGGTACCAGTTGAAGAATTTACCGCGGTACGGTCTGGCTCGTCGGAGAAAACGGTCTTTATTAAACTTTGGGATAAGAAGTGCGATTGAAACTTTGACCGGGGGTTCGGGGCATAGATAGGCGGGATAGGCCACAGCCTACGGTAAACAAGAGCTATCCGAAGACCGCGCCGGTGGGAGGGAGGGGTAATTGGTACAAGAGGCAAGCTTTAACTGCTGAGGTGATGCAGACATCGCAGAGTGCTCCGTGAGTTTTACCGTCTCGGGTGGTTGAAGAAGCAGTACGTCTTCCGAATTGACTGCCGGCTTTGTTTTTTTAAAGTTTCAAGGAGCCTAAACCATCGGCCGTGGAAAGGCGTGCCGTATTTGGGAACGAATTGCACGTATCAACCAATGGTATTATCGCAGCATCCCACTATCTGATTAGTATTTAGAAAAGGTCAAATTATTGCGTAAGTGGGCATCATATGTAGGAGATGCTTATCTGGTTGGATTCTACCTTAGGCAACTCATGGCAACTCCAGCATCGATTGATTAGCATTACACAGGAGCCAGATTACATCCGACAGATACTCTCTCGGCTCGGAGCCTGTTTGCACGAATGTATAAGACAAGGTAGGCCGGGACGTTTCCGGTCGCCCTTGCAAGTCGAACGGAACCCCCACGTTCCCTACCGACCGTATGAACGTGTCCCCGTAACCCCCGCCTCCGCACCGGGCCGATGTACGGACTACTCCAAAAACTACCAGCCAATCCCGGCCAGAACCTCAACAATCTGCCCCGAAAAGGACCCATTTTGCCGGGCCCGCCGCCCCCGTCCACAAGCGCCAAAAAAAAAAAAAAAAAAGACGGAAATGCCGCATCGGAAATCAAAAATATTGACCAGCCTGGGGGTCGAACCCAGAATCTCCTGATAACTGATGAATCGTAGTCAGACGCCTTGCCATTGGGCCAACCGGCCATGATTGATTGGATACTCCAGAGGATGTTGACGAATCGAGCCGGAATTGTGTCAATACTCCCTTCCAAGATCATAGCCACTCCAACGGCGGCAACTTGAGCAGCGCAGCCGCATCAGAGGACACCGACTATCACAGTGACAGATGAATGTACGAGCTGGTGATTATGGCCCAGTGATTCGTTGTGAGCACATCGAGACTTTCTCAATCAGCGGCTACAATTGAAAGAACCCAAGGACTTGGCCAATTGAGACTTTGACGCAGCTGACTTATATCTATAGCACCCAGCGGTCTTTGACCCTTTCGGCGGCCGAGTCCAACTTGATGTCTTGATGTGCTCATGGGTCATGGCCCTGATTCCTGAATCGATGAGGTACATAGCCACACCAGAGTTACCGTCGGTGCAAGGTGCTTGTTCCTAAGCTCTAGATGACAAGTAAAAGTTGAGCTGCCGGACTTGTTGCTGAATCTCTTCCAGCTCAGGGTTTTCTCGGGCGTCATCGAGATGAGCTACCAATGCAGCGGGTGCCATTAGTAGTCGTCGAAACATCACCACCCAAAAAAAATCAAGGCAAGACTCATTTATTCTGAACTTAGCTGTACCATATTCGTTCCCGGGTACGATTATCGATTCGTTGGCGATGGTATGAATGACACTGCTTTCTCCTCAATACCCGTCTTCGGAGCGACTTTCTAATCTTGGCTTCTCTCATTTCCATACTTGGCAGACTTGTTGCCGTAGAAAGGGATTTGCGCTGCAAATTACCTATTCTCTGTAGAAGCGGTAAGAAAACAACGGACTGTTGCACTTGAAGAAGCAGTTTCACAAGAGAGTCATGCGACTTTAGCGAGAGCAATCGTTCTTTGTGGTTGGCTCAAGCTCCCTCGGTCATGTAGATCGTCATGCTCTTGATATATGTAAGTTTATGACTTAGTCATGTCACTTCACGAGTGCGCTGCGAAATCCATTTGTAACTCGCTAAGGTAGTGGGGCTGATAATCAATCTGTGCCAGCGATCATGACTTCGCCATAGCTAAACGGCTATTTCGGGAATCTGGTAGTTGGAGACCATCCCGCGTTCGGAAACAGGAACCCGTCAACTCTATATAATAGACAAGTTGTCAACTCCATTGATTGCCATTAGTTCATCCCATCGGCTCGTAACCTTACTATCTTACACTTTTACCAAGCAAAACGTTGTTTACACTTCACACTCCCCAGGCCTTGAACCTCTGAACGAATAACCTCAATTTGAGTTCATCCTTGTCACGCCTACACCTGGTCAAGAGCTAATTTAGTGAACAATAGATGGCTCGCTTCATCTTCGCTCTTGCTGCACTTTGCGCTGCGACGGTCCAAGCTCATCCCCAAGCTAGAGGCAATTGCGGATTTGCCTTCACCGCTTCTGGAGGAGGACAAGCTGGCGGATGTGTCGGCGCTGGCGACACTGGAGGTGTTTCGATTCCCCAGGGACCGTATGTGCAGTTCGCCATGGGTAGGGACTGTAAAGTCAGCGTCACCAATGGCCCCATCGAGGGTTTGTCTGTTCAGTCTACGGGAGCGTGTTGAGCAACATTAAACCGAAGTAAAACTCGTCGACGGTGTTCAGGCTTGCTAGGTATGCATCAAAACCAGTCGGGTTGAGTCGACCCAATTTCTTCAGGATGATGTAAAAAGCTTTCTAATTGCAATGAACAGTGTTGGGGTGGACATGGTAGGCTTGCGTAGTTGCGATATGCGAACATCACATTTGTACAATAGCAGCGAGGTTCGGGGTGGCTTTTGCTCTTGGAAATGATATCCCGTGGAAAAGAAGATTGAAAGCACTGATGGCGGAGACTCAAGGTGACCAAGTCTTATACTGATCATGTGTTCAATACAAACATGCCAGCTTTACAGTTTTGATGCTTCCCAGTTCCAACTCAATCTGGTAGGCCCGCTCTAACTTATGCGATAGATCTGATGATTCCACAGAACTACATCACGATGTCTCCATGGGGTAATTATATCACCAACTAGGTGAGTCTCTTTCTGATGCCGCCAGGTCAGTGAAGGTATTATCTGTCCATCCTAGATTGGCTGCTCTAAAAGTCGATCGAGATAGTTTGTGTTCTCCAATCGGTACATACCTGGCTTATCAGTTACTACGGCCTCAGATTCATGATTACATATCACCTCGTTTGATCCCCCCTGTCGTGGTCCCTTTCCCGAGATACCATCCATATGGAAACATCAGATCTTCTCCCAAGATATTAATGACAGCCCAGCCTAAAGAGTAAATTGCTGCTTGGCAACTTTTAGGCTAACGGAGAGAAATTTGAGGGTCTCGTATAGAAAAATAAACACAGTAGTGCTAGAAATTGCCTTTCCTGATGTTGTTAGCGGGTGGGTTGCTACGTCAAAAACCACAAGGTAGGAACGTAGTCCTTCAGGCGTGGAGAAAAGCGTATCCCGCCTATGTGTACCACACCTTTCGCTTGGCAGCTTCATGACAAAGGGACTGCTCTTCGTTGGCATTCGAAAGATGAAACGGTTCAATTTATACGGATGTATCTACTGTTTTCAAGTCCAGTACTTTTCGAAGAGACAGGGAACTCCCGGCACAAACTAACATACAATAGTGCCAGTAGACGCATTTGTTCCGCTACGGCAGTTTGAATTAGCCAGCAACTTGTTTCCACGCCCGTGACAACTATCTGGATAGAGAAACTCGTATTATTTGGAGATGCTGGCCGCTAGGGAGCGTCTTCACCTACAGCACGCTACCCGATCGCTCATCGAAGAGGTTCCGCCTTTCAGGTCAACCGTCGAACCTTCAAGGATCCATGTGGGGTTCGGTGTTTGGTAGGCGAGAAAATCTGCTCTCAGCACCACCCTAGCATGGGCATGGCTTGTTGGTTCTCCCGGCTCCCACCCAAAACCAGACGAAAGCCATTATTCCTGATATCTATCCCCTGACAGTTTGACAGGCGTCATGTGGAGATGGCCACCAACAGAGAGAGGACCACGATTCATTCGCGAACGATCTGGGGACACGAACGGTTCATGGTGGCACGATAGGATTTTCGGGCCGTTACGATCGAGAACGTCTTCAGATGGTAGAAAAGCTGCCATTCCCCTTGCCTCAACGTGGCCAGCTAGGTTAGTGACTCGCCAGTTCGCCAAGTCTCTTTGACACTGTTGCTCCATCCAACCACGGGGCAGACACCACTGTGCCCGCTGTCGAAGTCGCGTCGCAAATAAAACAGGCCCACTGAAGGGATTTGACAGCGTTACATCAATTCTTTGGAGGTATTATTCGAATTACTTGGCTCATTTAGATCTGCATTTTCCGCACGCCGCTACGCCGCTGTCACGAAACCCCAAAACTTTCCGTTTCACATCTCGACGCGCCGCGGCACTTAGTTGCCCGGGTACCATCTGCTGAGGATAGAAGTCACATTTGCCGGCCTGCTAAGGTGAGCACAGTGACCGCTAGGCTCGGTCTCCGTCTTGGAGCCGGCAGGCAGGACGGCGGACATGCCCTGCTGGTAGCTGAGAGGTAGTGCGTTGTCAATGGTGGCATAGAGGTAGGCGCAGTCGATGCCGTTGCTCCAAGGCTCGTAGCCGGAGGCGTTGGTGAAGGCACCGAGAGCGGTCCAGGTCATCTCGGACGCCCACTTCTCCTGCTCAGAGGCAGGAAGGTCGTTGAAGCCGACCTCGGGGAGCAAAGTGGCGTTGCCAACAACACGGTCCCCCTATAATGCATGTTAGTATGACTACCGTTTCGTAACCGACGGAAACTGGGGTATTGGGTTACATACCTCGACAATCATCCAAGGAAGAGGCTCGCCGCCGAGAAGGTCGAGCAAACTGGAACCTTTGGGGAGCATGAAAGCACTGGCGTAGACGATGCTCACAACACCACCAGAAGCACCAGCAGCGGAGCGAGTGGCAACGTCGTAGCCCTCAACAGCGTTGCTGGCCACGACACCACCGTAGGAGTGAGAGTAGATGACGACCTCCTTGCCATCGGAAACAAGCTTGTCCAGCTCGGTGCGCACGGCGGCAACATCGTCGGAGAGGGATGCCAGGGGCGTGGTGGTACCGCCGACGGTGGGGAGAGCTACAATGGAGGTGTTGAAGTCGGAGCCGGCCAGCTCGGTAGCGAAAGGCTGGAAAGCGGAGGGCAGCTGCCAAGCGCCGGGGACAATAAGAATTGAGGGCTTCATTGTGTAATGGGGATGTGAGGTGACAACTGGAGAACCACGAGTGATGCGATCTTGGATCTGTCAGAGATTGACGAGATGAGAATAAGGACAGAGATGGGCGAGGGATGCGTGCAGACTTGGATCGAAGTGGACTCTAAAAAGGAATGTGTAGCCTGCCTGGTAGCAACAACAAGAGGCAAGTGATGAGCAGAGGCAGGTGGCCTTTCTAAAGTACTACTTCGTATCTGCTATAGATATCAAGGCATGAATATACATCCTCAGCAAGCAATATCCCCGAAATGACAGCGGCCAAAAGCGATGAACGACCCGTGACAGCGGGATGAGCGCCGGGTAGTCTCTCCGATATTGCCACGAGGTCTTGAGTCCTTGAGGTCCGCTAGAGAGGTTTACGCGGTCCTCCGAAGTTATCCACAAAGGGCCCAACGTTGGCGGTGGGTTGCTCCAGTTGTGAAAAGGGGTCGAGGGGGGGGGGGGGGGGGGGTGGTGGGGGGGGGGTGGGGGGGGTGGGGGGGGGGGGGCGGGGGGGGGGGCGGGGGGGGGGGGGGGGGGGGGGGGGGGGGGGGGGGGGGGGGGGGGGGGGGGGGGGGGGGGCAACTTGAGGGGGTCATGACGGAACAGGTTATGGCGCAAGTGAGCACCCGGTTCGATCGAGCGGAGACAAAAGGACGAGAGGGGCTCGGTACCTTACAGGCTTGCAGCTTGAAGAATGCATGTGGCAGGATCTTCTTTTGTGTACGGAGTAGCCTGTGCTGCGCCGTCGTTCTGCATTGTTCAGCATTTCTTTTTCTTTTGAGGTTCAGGCATCTCGCTAAGTAGTTTGCTTTAGTCTCCGAGGCCTTTTGCAACCATCTTCTCCATGTTACCTCGGCAGTCGAGGACTCGGGGGCTCGGGGCAAGCTTCGTATTATATCTCTTGTCGTTTTCAACTTGCCCCTCATACCCAAAGAAAAGCAATCCCTCATGTCAATGTTCCACTTAGTATTTGACGATAATGACGCACAGGAAGGAATCGTGGTCCACCGCAAGAAGTTGAGTACAAGTTACAGGGTTGTTGACTCAATGTGGCCCCCATCCGCGTCTTCAACAGCTCTCTTCCGGGAGCTGTACAGAGGCCACAATTGCCGTGGTTTTGGCGTTGATCTGTCGATGTCAACCCTGTGCATGCAAGGATGCGCCCGGACGTCAAGGGGCATGGCATGCGGGCCCTAGTTGCGAGAGGCGGGTCTAGAAGAGGGGATCTCCCCCGAACTAGTCGACTAGCGTGGGATCAGTTCCAACGGTTTTTCGAGTTTGGATGCGAGACCCCAGAACGAGAGCCGTGCGCCGGAAGCATTCTTCCTAATCCGAGTCTATCGGACGTTCGCAACGATGTTTCCTAGTGTCTGTAGCGTGCTGCGGGCCGGCTTGTGTAGGCCCAAGACGGAGAAAGAAGAAAGACGAGACTAGGACTGGAACAATTTATACTCCTAGCCTCCTTACGATATCACACCCTGTCCATAGTCCACAGATGTCTGGACAACCCTCATGGGGTTCCTCCTCGAAACTGACAAAGATTGACAAACCCGACAACTCCTCGGGACTTGGCCGGGTGCTCGCTCCCCTTTTCGTTGCTTCTTTCGGTTGCAGTTCCACCTATTGTCTCTCTCTGGGCCCCTACCCGAGGTAGCAGTTGCAATGGGGGCAGATTGACATGTCAAACATGACAAGTCAAAACAGAAGTGATTGACAGTTTGGGAATGCAACAGTGGTTCGGGAAAAACGAACGGGTCCAAGAGCCCGAAACCCACGGCCGTGATAGACGACGACGGGGTTGTCGCACGTGTTTTTGCTTTTTCTCTCCTGCTAGATTTTGTGTAAGCAAAGCCCGCGGCAACGAAGGCATCTGGCACTCCCCAAAAAATGTTCAGGATAAAATGATTCCCCATCCCCACGTGGTGTGGCCGGTGTCGTCGACCCCCCTTGCGTCCGTTTACTCGGTAACCCCCCTCCACTCACCATCGACGACGACCCGTTTTCTATAGACCGCTGTTCAACGAGAGCCCGCGTGGCCATCAAGCCACCCGCCATGGCAGCCACTATGGTGACATACCCGTACAACGATCCGACTATCGATCAACCCCAGAGGGACTATCTGAAGAAGCTGGCCGACTTCGCTGAAGATCAAAACCTGTCCGAGGATCTCCGTCCATATGTACGAGCGATTACGATCGCCTTCACTGTCTTTGCTGCGTTTGTGGTTGGGTTAAGGTTCATGGCTCGTCACCTGCAGGGTGCGAGATACCTCAAAGATGACTACACGATGTTGTTCGCTCTAGTGATATTAATTGGGAACATGATCATGAATCTCATCCGTGAGTTGCATTGGAAGATGAGAGTACGAAGACATGCTAACTTCTCTCCAAGTGGTTGATGCTGGTATCGGACTGCATTCAGGTCGCCTTACACTAGAACAGCTGCAGTTTCTCGACAAGGTATGCATCAGCGTTCTCTAGCGCTGTGCAATTTCGCTTTACCATCCAGCTCATGAGGACTAAGCTAACATTATTTCTGTAGACCATGATCGGTGCCGAGATTCTGTACGTCAACGGAGTCAACGTATACAAAATAGCGCTGCTTTTGCTGTACCTGCGCATCTTTCCAATGCGAGAAGTCCGCAAGGGAGCATGGATATGTGGCAGTTTGACATCGCTCTGGACGCTTGCTTGCGTCGTCGCCGCCTCGATACAGTGTCTTCCCCTGAACACGCTATGGGAACCGTGGAAGCCCGGTACTTGCATCAACCTCTTCTTGACGCAACTTGCCATCGCTGTGCCGAGCATCATTGTCGACATTGCGATTCTCTATCTTCCGATACCCCACGTGTTGAAGCTCCAGATGAATAGAGCTCAACGGATCCTGGTCCTCTTTACTTTCCTGCTGGGAAGCTATGTCGTGTTCTGTAGTGTCTACCGCTTCAGAATTTTCTTGCTATACACGAAAAACGATGTTCCTTGTAAGTCTCTTGACGCGGATGAACTCTCTGGCTATTTTGTGCTAACTCAACAATAATAGACTCATTGGCTCAAGGCCTGGCCTGGAACATCATTGAAATTAGCAGTGGTATCGTGTCTGCATGCTTGCCGACTCTTGTAAGTCTAGCAATGACAACGTTGATGATAACATGACTGATTAAGTGCACAGGGTCCAATCGTACGTGTACTCTGGAAGGGTCTCCTTGAATCCGCTCAACGAAGTGGTCTGGATAAGTACGCCCAGTCGTCCTCCAACAAGAAGTCGACAGGAAGGTCAGCAGGCATGACCATCGGCGGCGGACGATCCGGAAACGCCTCTCATGCAAGGGATGGCTCGAAAGACTGGTCCAAGCTTCCCGAAGCCAACGCCAAACCGAACTTTCGGGAAGAGTCCAAGTACGGCATCGGCCTTCGCACAATGGGTGGAGGCGACGATGACCGTAGCTCTCGTAGCTCAAATGACGTCGAGCTGATGCCTCAGAGCACGGTCAGCGTAACCGTGCGGAGCCCAGCCAGGGACAACTTTCCCGAGCATGAAGCGGGTGTGAGTGCGCGAGAGCACTACCACGGGAAGAAGATCTCTAAAGAAACCAACTCTGGGTATCCTCACTCAGATAACAGGATATGGCAGCATCGCGAGGTTGAGATAACGACGGAGCCGGTAGAACCGGAGTCTGTCTTGCCGGATTTTAACAGGAAAAGGAAGTCGGGGATATGACGAGACGGATGCTGGCGGAATACCCATATGAATGAACATCGTCTGTAAATAACCTGTAATAGTATCTAGTATAATTATGCTAAAGAAGCATGAGCTTCAAATCTTTCAGATCAAGGCCTCGACGAGATGTTCAAAGTGATTCGGTTGTGGAAATGCATGTGAGTGAGCCACGAATAGGGTTCTTCATGATGCACAAAATTTCAAGTGTTGCCTCAAAGAGCAGCTTCTGTTTTGACTTCTCTGCGCATATGATTCTACGATAAGCAGAATGCTGCAAAGATACATCAACATGAAGTTAGTACCGTAACGTAGTTTATCTAGATGACTCAGCCTGCTCTTGTTCCCTGGCCTTCTTCAAATCCTCCGGTCCATAGAGGTTCCTCACGGCGAAAATCAGCCCAGCTGCGAGTGCAACCATCAGAACCCAGATTGCGTAACCGCCTAGGGCCTGAGTGTTAGCACCTATGGCAAATAGGGTGGTGAATGAGGCCGGAGAAAATGCCCTGATGACGCTCGCTCCGGTAAGAGCCAAAGCATTCAGCGTTCCCAGAACACGAGGGCTGGGCGAGATATCATTCAACGACAATTGTATGGCAGTGAAGCTCATGCTCACGCCGCAGCCGATAGTGAGAGCAATGGGCATAAAGACCCAGAAGAACGTGACCCAGGCCGGATTGTGTACACCGAGCTTGAGAACGACGTTGCCGAGAGGGCAGATGAGGAAGAACCAAGGGTACGCATAGGCGCAGGCACGCAGCACACCGTTCGTGCCTATGCGATGCTGCAGTGGCGGGAAGATGATGAGAAGCCACGAGACTTGGGCGATACCGTTGACGGACATCATAACGGAGATTTGCAGAGGGGTGAAGCCGTAGCCACCAAGCTCGACTGGGGTGAACCAAAAGACGGGGACGACGGCCGTGTAGGACAATGCGAGGAGCATGAGGTAACCGTACACGAAGAGGACATTGGAAGCGCCTGGCGACTTGACGATCTGTTTGATGGAGCCCTTGTCCTTCTGGGGCGGTGCTGCTGCATCGTCGTTGCTGCTGTGCTTCTCCTTGACCAGTGTTTCCTCGACAAACAGGATGCTAGTGATGGTCGCCGTCAAACCAATGAAGCCCACGCAGAAGCTGGATAGTGCGTAAGGGTAGTCGAAAAAGAATTGAGCTTTGAAAACGCTCGGGTACTGATGCGCCGGATCGGCGAGGGCTCCGCCGAGAAGGGGCCCGAAGAAGATGCCAAGATTACCGCTCAGAGCGAACCAACTA